TTTTCTTACTAAACTTTAAATTACAAAAGTTTTTATATAATCAATTGTTTCAAGATTTCTTGACAATTCTTGTACATACTTGTTAAAAACTACAATAAAACAAATATACTAAATTATAAACAAACTAGTTTGATTTAACTAACAATGAATTTCATACTGATACATTTTACAAAACAGTATCAATTGATCATTAACCTTACAATATTTATTATATACAGAAAAACTCTTGACTTTAATAACTAATCTATCTTTTTTAATATTAAAAAACTTCAAAATCAAATTATTATTAAAGAAGCTATCTAATTATCTTCTTCTAAATTGAAAAACTATTATAAAACATTCAAATTATCTTTGTTTAAAATGCTACAATCTCTTGAAAACATTATACATCTTTTAATATGTTTTCAAAACCATTTAGACTTTATAATTTTAATAACACATGCTGTATATAAAACTTTAAACAATCTAGAAATATTTTGTTATAATATGAATATTTTCTTAAACCTTTGTCTTAAATTATATTAACAAATAAATACTACTAAAACTAATAACTAAAAACATTCTAATACTATTTGAAAATAATAAATATAAACATAAATATGTTCTTATTATTCATCATAATATTATTTTTGCAATACATAAAAAACTCTAACTTATCTCTAGAACAATTCAACATAAACTCATCTTTCCTGTACCATCATTATTATAAATCCCAACATTAGTCAAAACTAAACCAATATTACCTTTTATAATAAATAAAAAAAATAGATCATTATATCACTTAGGATCAATCTTCTCTTTATTATCTTATCAAAAACTAAAAGTTTACTATCCATTCTAACAAAGAATAGGTCAAAAGTAAAATAGTTCTTACTTCCATCTTTCCTAACTTAATTTCTTCAACATGTATCTTATATATGTAAATTAACTAATTAATAAACAAGATAGAGGGTAGACCTCTCTTTAAAAAAAAAAATTTTTTTTTATTATATTGTTTAAATTAGTAGATTTATTAAATCAAACCTTTTTATAAATAACTATTGCAAAAATAAACTGATCAGTCCGTTTACAAAGTACCTTAAAACTTATTACGCTTGGCAAAATTCTGTATCCCTCTTACTGCGCTTTGCAAAATTCTGTTATAAAATGATCGTGATTGCAATTGTGATTACGACTGTGATTGCGATTGCGATTGCTAAAGCGACCAATTTATTATCAGATTTATGATAAATTGGCCAGCTTAGCAATCACAATCGTAATCATAATCACTATCATTTATAAATATTATTAATCAAGGAGGGTACAGAATTTTGCAAAGCGCGATAATTACTAATATTTATAAAATGATCGTGATTGTAATTGTGACTGTGATTGCAATTGTAATCATGACTGTGACTGTGATTGCGATCGCTAAATCAGACCATTTATTATCAGATTTATGATAGTTGGCCAGCTTTAGCAATCACAATTGCAATCACGATCATTTTATAAATATTAGTAATCAAGGGTACAGAAATTTGCAAAGCGCAATAAAAATTTAATATAAAAGTTCATGTCTTAATAGATTACCTATCTTTTAACTGATTACTTTTTTTATATTGTTAGCTCATTACATAGCTAAATTTTGATCCAATACTCAGTATTAATGATCTAACAATTATCCTGTTACAACCAATTGGTTAATACCTCAAAATTTTAGGGTTCCTTAGAAATTCACCAAATTTGTTGTCCGGAGCGATCAGGAAGAAGTTTTACTGTCTAGACTTGTGATACCCTTGTAACGTATACTTTACTTGACAAGAAAAACACTCCCTTTCGATTTTACAAAAGTAATAAAATGACGGAAATTAGTAAAACTACGATACAATATATATATTATGATGTACTTATGGGGCCGGCCACCCAAAAAGTTTCGAAAATCATGTGATAAGTGATTTTTTTTCTTCGATTGTTTAAAGTGAAAAAGGTAGTTAAAAGCATAAAATCCAATAAACACGCTATTCTAAAAGTATATGTTGATTGCCGTAACCAAATTTTCATTAACAATAAACGAAAAAAGAAAATAAAATTATAAAATCTAATCAAGAAATACAATTGAACCAGCCAATCTTGTAGATTTTATTAAATGCTCTTCCGTAAGATTATAACTCTGATTATTTATTTGGATCCAGGATGTAGCAACAAAAATTATTGAAAAAAACAAGTAGTAACAAATGGCTTGATAGTATTAATAAAAACTTTGTGCTATTGCATAAATTGGAGAATTATAATTATTTTAAAAGACAATGGAATATTCCAAATACTTAGAAAAACCGTAATTATAATACTTTCTGGCTATAATAAATTTTACGTTTATTGAGTTATTTGAAATAAATAAAATGATTTATCGTTGTCTAAAATTTTTTTTTGTTGTATTTTTTTGTTGTATTTTTTTGTTGTATTTTTTTGTTGTATTTTTTTGTTGTATTTTTTTGTTGTTATATGAATTTTAATGTTCGATGTATTAGTCACGTGATGGTCAAAACTTTTTAGGCTGGTAGGCAGGACACGGAAAAAAATTTTTAATGTAATTTTTTCAAATTTCGAAATTTTTTGGATACAATTTTTATCATGTGATCATAGAATGATTGACTGTTAATTGTTTTAAACATGTCATTTCTGCCAATTCTAAAATAAATCGAAATTTTTACTTTTAATCAAAAGAATATTTCCGTGTCCCTGCTGGTAGGGTATGATTCGGTAAATGCAAAATTATGCATGTGACAAATCATAAATTATGCGAATTAGCCAATAAAATCATGACAAATCAAGTGGTTACAGTCACATATACAAACCGGTTTATTTATTTGACCAATCAAATTTTGTTCACACTTGCATGAAGGATTATGCGGTCTCATATAACGATAAGAAGAATTGCAAATTATACGCATAATATGTCGCATCATAATCCTGGACTCCCTAGTGGCTGGTCGCCATATGGCGTGATTTATTATAGCGGTTTGCAAATTTGAAGATCACTTTGTTAATTTCTGATTTTTGATTTTTGATTTCATTTTTTTTGACTTTTAGACAAAATTTGCGTATTTATCATTTGTAAAAATTTGATTGAATATTTTAATGCGCAACTCTTATTCTTCAAATATATTACAAAATGATGAATATGCAACTTTTTTTCTATAAAAAATAATAAAATATTTACAAATAATAAATGTGCAAATTTTGTCTAAAAGTCAAAAAAAATGAGGAAATCGATTACTTTTTTTTTAATGATCTTCAAATTTTGCAAACCGCAATAAATACGGTTTATAGAATTGTACAACGTAGATCCGATTAGATTGCTTACAAATCAGTTTGGCCGATTCTACTTTTAAATGCACAAAAAAAAATATACTACGTATTTTCCAGAGCTTAACACAATTTGAGATAAAAAATAAGTTATTTGGTATTGTAAATATAAATTCGGTAATTTTAAATTTTGCGAATAGATAAACATTTCAATGAAACAGACAGATTTCAAATTAGAAACCAGCTAATAATCATGAATTTCCTTTTGTAGTTCGAGATGCAGATCATTTCTTCTAAATAGTACAGATCTTTATGCGTTACGTGACCGATAACTTTTTGTTATTGTCGTGCGTCTGCTTGAAGTCAATCAGGTATAAAGCGCCTGAAGTTAAAACTTTAGGCAGGTGTCAATTTCAATCACAAATTGAAGAGACTTATCCCAAAATGATTTAATTGATGTATTGGTAATTGATAAATCGAAAATTATGTTTTCAGCCGTTCCATGTATGTATTCTGATTCAAATAAATAATATATTGTTTTACTAATAAAAAGATCTATAAATATTTTTACAATAAGTAAACAATATCGGAATTTGGTTTCCACTTTTTTGTTGAACACTAACCGAAAAAAGATATGTCAAGGCTATCATGGCTTTCAATGTATGCTAATTTAGATGAAGTGGCGAAAGATTAAAAATATTTGCGTCCAATAATTGCAACTGTTTGATCTTGCCTTATTCATTATAATTGTGAGTTCGTATTATTTTTCATGCTCCTTAACTTTCACACAACATAACTTATTAGGTAATTCTTTTACATCATTTATTACGCGTTTTTTTTCAAGATGCATGAAAAAAGTAATGTTATTCGCACAATAAACGTGTATTCTTCCAATTATGTGCGCACAAAGAAGTAATTCCAATTGCAGGACAAACAAAAGACGTGTAATCCCAATTATGGGGCAGGTTGGCGAATGCTTTGTGATCTATTTTCTGCTAGTATGTCGAAGTTAATTGGTATAACGCCATGTGAATATATAATAAATGCAATATGCAAGTTCTAGGTATAACTTTCTTATCTAGAGTACCCTTTATGTGATCTTCTCCTTGGTGTACCGTGAAACACAAATACTAAATTGAAGTAATTCTGATTTCGTGCTATGTAATGCGTTTAAAAAGGTTCAATGAAACATTAACACGTCTAAAACTTTTATTTGTGAAACTATGCAGAAGATATAGAAGTTTTAATCATTTTGCTGATTCTTTAATATTTTTTAATAAATATGAATAAGAGATATGTTAGTATATCAACAGAATTTTACCGTTTTGAATAAATATGGATGCGTGATACAATGCATATTTATTATAACATTTTATTTCGATTTTTGATAAATCTAAAAAAATATTAAATCATTATATTGTTTCACGTGAATTTATAGAATCTTAATCACCTGACTTCAGTCTACAACTTCTAAAAATGATTTTTTTTACATTTTCCTAATAAGCTTTAAAGTTTAAATTTTAAAATTTCTGATCGTGATACAATAAATACGCCAAGACCGTTCAATTATATCGATATGCACCTATCAATTAATGATGATTCCCCATCCTTTAAATTATAAATAGGTACCTCTTTTCAATAATAATGAGTCCCCCGCCTCAATTAAATCATCAATAGAAGATAATAGACATAGACTCCCACAAATTTGGGCCATTATGAGCGATTTGAATGTTAACAAGGCTTCAAGTGCGCAGACTTCATTACCGCGAGAACGTGTTTTCATTGATTCAAGCGATCCCTCATTTCCCAATCAAGTAATTAACAACAACAGTGGACAAACATTTAAACCTCCATTTCCTCCCACTATTACTCCTCGAGATTTGGTAGAGAAAAGACCTGATGGACGCGTTCCTGCTAGAGCTCCAAATTCTTTCATTGTCTATCGAAAAGCATGCGTCGAGGAGGCACGTAAAAAGGGGTATTACTTACCAATGACTGTCATTTCCTCAATTGCCTCTAAATCGTGGGAACAAGAACCTGAGACGGTGAAAAATGAGTACATGAGAATCGCGCGAGAAGCCTGCGAATATCATAGTGAAATTTATCCGAAGTATCACAAACGAAAAAAACGTGAAAAATGGAATATAATTTCATTTAAACAATCAAATCGATCTGGCACTCCATCAACAAACAATTCGACTCAATTCCCTCAATCCTCAAGCCCGAAAGAACTTCATACAGTCGATGTCGTACCTTCGAGCTGTCCGCCATCAGGGAGTCTTCGATCTTCTGAAACCCCGAAAGTTCATAATATACTATCAACGGATTCGCGTAATCGTCATGATTTTTACAGCCAACCCATTTTCCCGAGTCCCGATCCCTCATTTGATTATGATCACCGACAGATAGTTGATACTGATGTTTCAAATACTCAATTATCTTCTGACTTCCTTCAACTAGGTACAACACATCAATTTAGTGGAGCCATATATCCAAGCCCTGATGTAAACTCTGAAGATTTTCTTAAAACTCCTATTCCAAATTTGATATCTTTATTCAATTCACCATTAATTCAAACCCCTACTATAAGAGATGAATCCGATAATGTCACAAGCATGTATAACTGTACCATGCCAAACTGGTTTAAACAATCATGGCAAGACAATCTACAAGTGAGTGACAATCCTTTAAATGGATCCTATGACGATAGCATCAATTTTGATGCATTTGGTATCTCCTTTTCGAATATGTCAGATACTGCGACCAATAACATTCAATATGAAAAAAATGATAATAGCAATGCTTGGAATAATCCTAATAATCCTTTTTGAATACCTTTAGCACATCTCTAAACTCGATTATGTTATTAGTTACCTTTTAAAATTCTTAAATATCTTGAGCACATCTCCATACTCGAACATGTATTAGTTACCTTTTAAGAATCTAAAAAAATGTACTAAGAAATTTATGCCTACGTATACGTATACTTTTTTATATATGCCAAATTAAGACAAATAAATTATGATATGCGTGTAATACATAAGTTTCCGATCTTTGTCAAATTTGAAAGTTACATAAGCTAGAATCGATTGAATATGCTAAAACGATCATTGGTTGCCACCGCTACAGTACCCAGGGCCTCTCCATTTTTAAAAGTGATTGGTACGATGTGAAAAACGGGTATTATGTTTGGGGATATGTTTGGGGATATGTCATATTAAAAGTACAGTCTAGCCTCGATATAGTCACGCTTGATGTCGTTAAAAATTACATTTTTGGGGTTACCAATTGTAAACCATAAGAAATTAACCTCCATATAGGCACTATCACCTTAGTCACATTCGTGACTATATCGTATATTGATTTACTATAGTCTAACCTCTATATAATCATGGGGTTGGTAACCAAAATTCGATGTGACTAAGGTGATAGTGTTTATATAGAGGTTAATTTCTTATGGTTTACAATCATTGATAAACCAAAAAATGTACAGTCAAATCTTGATATAGTCACAAATTATATAAAAATTACATTTTTGATTTACCAATACCGTCAGAACTTATATAATCACTAGGCCGGGAAACAAAATTTAGTGATTATAAAAAGTTGTGACTATACATGCTGGCCAAACTAAAAATTTCAAAATCCCACCCAAATTCCAAATCCCAAATATAATAAAATTGTCCCAAATCCCAAAGCCCAAATCCCATCCCAAATATAATAAAATTCGTCCCAAATCCCAATAGTTTTGCCAGCAAGTATAGTTGTGACTATATCAAGGTTGCGATTATATTAAGAGTGACTATGACGAGGTATAATTATAGCTATAAATCATAAGAAATTAACCTTCATATAGGCATTATCACCTTAGTCACATTGAATTTTGATTATCAATTTCGTGATTATATCAAGGTTAAACTGTAGTTGTATCTTTGGTCTTATTTAAAAAACAAGTTAGTAGAAATAATAAATAACAATTTTTTTTAGTTAAAGTTCTTGTTTTTGATTAAACATTTTCAAGAAATTATACTCTTTTTTGAGGCAGTTCAAAAAAGATAATGCATTACTAATAATTTTATTTCAATTACTAAAAAAAAGATAAATCTTGTCTGTAGAAATTATTCTAGAAGAAAAGTATCAATACAGTTTATAATTAAAAATTAGTTATTAAAGTAATTACAAAAAGGATTATTCTTAAGTTTTTGTTTTTAAAAAATTCTAAAATATATTTATAATATTGAAAGAAAGAAGAATATTTGTTACTTAATTAGACTTCAAAAATTTAACAGGGTTTATATATTTGTAAGCTAAGTGATTAAGCAATTAAGTGATTAAATAACTAAGTAACTAAGCAATTACTAAGTAATTAAAAAATTCTAGTAACTAGTAATTAAGCAATTATTAAATAACTAATTACTAAACAACTAATTACTAAGTAACTAAGTAATTAAATGATTATTAAATAACTAGAAAATTCTAATAATTAAGCAATTATTAATAACAATATAATAATAAGAATAACTAATAATAATAATAATAAAATAAAATAATAATAATAATAAAATAATAAAATAATAATAATAATTTATTCTATAATATTTTTATCTCCTTTAAAAATTATTTTATAAATTTTATATTTTGACTAATTAAAGTTGTATATATTTTTTATTTAGCAACTTAATAATATGAGTTGTCATTAATAAAAATCAAGCAAATCTACATTTAAAAAAAATTATAGTTTAACTTTCATAACTCATATCTTGATAAATTTTAAATTTATCTTAATAGTTTAATATTTAAAAGAAAGCTTAGATTATAAGCTACCTTTTAAATATTAAACTATTAATATAGTTTTAAAATCTATTAAAATATAAGCTATGAAAGTTAAGACAGTAATTTTTTTTTAATATAGATTTGTTTGATTTTAATTAATAGCAACTTATATGTATTACTGTTATATACTTTAACTATAAGATTATTTTTTTGATTATAATTCAAAAAGTTTATATATTATAAAAACATTTTTTTAGATATCTTTTATTTTTTTATTTTTTTAAATATTAAGATAAGTACTTGTAATTCAGAATTTTATTAATAGTATATTTGGCTAATAGTTGCATTACAACTATAGGAGGCAACTATAGAAAAAGTGTACAACTAGCCACTCATACAACTTTAGTCATTGTCTAATTTAACTAGTCCACCCAAAGATTTTATACTAGTTGTTATATCTGGAACTTGCTTGTAGATTTTCTATTTAACCACTCTAGTTTTTATATCTACTTATTTACCTCTGTCTATCAATGATCCTGACTAATGTTAGTGAAAATATGTTATAACTACTAAATCTTTAAAACAGTTCATTGGAATCTTTGCTCTTGTACTAAACCTTTCAGAATCTTCTGTATCTCATTCTTATAGCTGATCTGATATTGCTATGATCGAAACCAATATTAATGATCAAGACATACTATTAAACTGCTATGCCTTTGTAAAGTTCACCTCAATCCTAGTATTGACTTTACAATATATCCTTACTATTTTGGTATTCAATTCAAGTTCTACTAAGTTGTTATTTCAGATAGCCTGAAAAAGTAAGCTATAACCATATTTTTGGTTTACATATTTGCTAGTATATATTCTTTTTCTCTAAAATCTGAAAATTCTAACAGTCTGATTGGTTCATTTAGTTCCTTCTCAAAAACTGGCACATTTGTCCAGTTTCACAAGTTCTAGCTCTGTTTCATAAGTCTAGTTTTTACAATAGTATTATTAAAAATTTAGATTATCTTTCTATTCAGGTTTTCCAAATAGGCTTCTGTCTTTTATCTGATTTCTATGATTTACACAATCTAAAGATTTATCTTGGGTTCACATCACCTGATACTGGTTTGTATTTCTTTGTACAATGCTATACAAGTATCTAAACCTTTTAGTCATACTAATATAATATAGGTTACAAATATCTAATCTCAACCAATTACAGAAGACAGTTAATTGTAATACAGAAAGAATTGTAAATTTTTTACTATCACTAAGATTTGAATTCTAAACCTGCCACTTGAAGGTTGACAACCTATCCATTTTACTAGGTCACTACACCTTTCAGATAGCTTTTATTCTTTTGGTTACTTGAGCATTTTAGATAAAATTTTTAATTTCTAAAAAATTATCAAATTTAAAGATTATTAGGTCTAAGTAATAATAAACTTAAATCTTTTTGTTTAGATAATATCAAATATATTTAGAAATAAATAAAAACTTTAAAATTTAATTAACTTGGTTTTTTTATATTTTTCTAGAAAAGATATTAGTTATATTTAAGTTGTTAATATAAGTAATTGTTTTAAATTATTTATTATTTGAGTTAAATAATTAGTATTATTTATTTTCTAATTTTTTTATAACTTTATTAAGTAAAACTTTAGTTAAAAAAGATTGTATTTCTTTTAATTAAAATATTTATCAATATTAAATTTACTGAAACTTCTATTATAGAATTTAAGTTAATAACATTTTTTGATTTTTTTTTTAAATATTAAAGATGAGTTTATGCCTTTAACTTTATTAAAATTTAATTGAAGTTTTTATAAAAAAAAGTTTGCTTTTAAATTATATATGAAGAATAAAGACTAAAACATATAATTTGTGATTTAAACCTACAAAATTAGTCAAGACTTATCTTAATTTAGATATTAGTAATAATATAAGAGAGAGAAATATAATTTTTAATCCATTAGATAGTTTAAAGATTAATTTTAATAATAATTTATAGTATTGAAATAGAAGATAAGAATAGACTAGAAAAGGTGTGGCGACCTAGTAAAGTGGTCAGGTTGTCAACCCTCCAAGTGGTAGATTAGATGTTTAAATCTCATTAATGACGAAATTTGGATAATCAAAATTCAATGTGACTAAGGTGATAATGCCTATATGAAGGTTAATTTCTTATGATTTATAGCTATAATTA